CCATATGCCAATGGACAATATCTCTCTGTGTGTCCAATAATCCCACAAGCGAAACAAAAACGAGGCAATTTCTCATATTTAAAGTCCACCCAGAACTCCCTATTATCCTTTTGAATTTTTGTCCCTTTCTGCAGAGGTTCACATATATCTAGGCTAATTTTGATCCTCAAATAAACACTACAACTACCATCTATCTGATTTTCATCCAAGTGAACGAATTTATCTAGATAATTCCCAATTTTTTGTGCTGTTTTTAGGGTCATAAGACCATCAGGCACATTATGAACCTGAATCCAAATACCGGTCATGGTCAATGGGACCCTAAGTGGAAATCCCCTGGCTTGATCTCATGTAATCCTAGCAGGTTTTGTTCAAAATGTAAACAAATGTAAACAAATATCTGCGCTCCCCAATTTCTTGAAAAGCTGAAACTTCACCATTTTGTCTGTGATTAGAGTACCAACCACCGTAAAAGCCATCTGAGCACCTTCTCCCTCCTCATCACTGCCCTCATCATCAAAAACCAGTCCTTCCCCATTACCCTCCCCTATTATATAGCCATCTTGCTTCTCCAAAATTGCCTTTACCAAGTCCAATTTCGAAGCTTTGTACCTGCATTGCTGCTGCCACAAAGCCGCCACCAAATCACGCTATGAGACTCACGTTCACAGTTCACCCCAACCTAGGCCGCCCAAATGGAAGTACGATTTTCTTTCCAGTCCAAATCTCACCGGTTGAAACCTGTGTAACAACGAAACAAAGCTGCCCAACAAAAACAAAACCTAGTAGCTACTGAAACGCAGATGAAGCAACACTCCAATTAACCAAAGAGAAAATACAAATCGGATTCCATAACTGAGCCGCACGGATTGAGATCGGCGGAAGGAAAAACCCTACATCTCGTAGGAGCTGTCCACTTTTTCTTCTTTAATTGTATCTTACAAAGTAATTTTAAAAAATATATTTACGGACTGTTGTTTTATTGTGTAATATATACTTTTTATAAATGTATTAGTGGTAAAAAGTTAATTACAAATACTATTATCGGGATGTCTGTTACAAGTAGATTGTATTTATAAACTTATAAATATTTCACATTAAATATTTTGAAATAATCGAGATGTTTATTACAATGAGCCCGATTGGTGATTCTATTTTTCAACTTATCAGACTTAAAACTCAGATTTTTCACTAAACACGTATTTTTTATTTCGTGCTGAATGGTGTGATAATGTTAGAATCTCACACCGGAAAACTTTGAATCAGCAAAGTGCTATATTAAGACATGGGCTACTTCTCCTATCAGATTTACCTTCTCTAAGCAAGGTACTTCGTATATCACATGTTGATACATGAAGAGCGCCTTTTGAAGGTCACCCGAACGCAGGATATCCGAGGTGAGGAGGCAGCCTTTGCACTGCATTCCGGGGGGATTGGAACGCTGGGTCCTCTAAAAAAAAGGCAAACTCGTGTGCTCATTTTCCAAGAAAGAGGGACATGATCGTGAACATTGCTTCAAGCTCACCGATGAGTATCCGGACTGGTGGTATGCAAACAAAAATGAAAAGGGCAAAGAACGTTCCGGTGGTTCTGGCAAAGGAAACAACCGCAAGGGACCTGGAGAGGAGCATGCACGCAGGGGTCATATGGCAGCAGCTCATGCGGTGCGTGGACCTCTGGCAGACGAGCTTGTTGATCAGGGAGATTCAAGGCCGCCGGTGCCCACGCTGTCGGCCGAACAATGGAACACTTTGTTGGAGTTTATGAAAAAATATAACATAGGTGACAAGGTTGAGAAATTGGCAGATACGTCATGTGTAAATTGGCTTCTGGACACGGGGGCATCATACCATATGATGGGTGACAACAGAATAATGATCGATATAATTCTTGTTTCTTCTATACCTGTGACGCTTCCTAACGGAAATATCACATATGCTAGCCACATTGGACGTGTAAAACTGGGGGCCAAGGTTACTCTTGAGTGAGTGCTTCTTGTGCCACATTTAACTCATCATTTGATTTCTGTTGGACGTCTCATTGATGATTTACCGTGTCACGTTATTTTTACTGATAAGTTTTGTGTGATACAGGACCTCACTTTGAAGACGCTGATTGGAGTGGGTGAACGTCGTGGTGGGGTCTATTTTCTCTATGGCGTTGATTACGTGCAAGCTTTTCTTGTAGATGGTGGTAATACAGAAGACTTGTGGCATAAGAGAATGGGTCATATCATCCTTCATCTCGGGTCATCCGTTTACTTTCTGTCTCACAAAATAAAGTTAGCAGTAGTGGTAATTTTAATAAGAGTTGTGACATTTGTGCACGAGCCAAACAAACTCGTGAAACATTTATTCCTAGTATTAATCGTGTTTTGCATGTGTTTGAACTTATTCATTGTGATTTATATTCATTGTGATGTGTGGGGGCCTTACCGGGAACCTAGTACATGTGGTGTGTATTATTTTTTGACAATTGTGGATGATCATTCCCGTGCGGTTTGGGTTCATTTGTTGGCTGGCAAAATGGAGGTACCCACTGTTATGAAACGTTTTTTTGCTGATTCAAAGTTTTCCTGTGTGAGATTCTAACATATACGGAGTACGATAATACCCAAACACAACTAATTACGTCATGATTGTAAATAAAAGTCAAAGATAGTCGTTGTCGCATTTTGGTTTGATGTTGAAAAAAAACAGTTTTTGGTCACGGTTAATCTTACATGGTTGTTGTTGAGGTTTATTCCCGAAGATCCGAAAGCCCAACACAAACTCTGGATATTGTAGGGATGTTGGGTTGGTTTGGAAAGTGTATAAATATAAAACTGAAGGTCCCTGATAGAGGTAATAGTCTAGAGGGGGGTGAATAGACTTTTAAAGCTTTTTGCAACTTGAAAAACTTTCCCTTCTAGATGAGTTGATCTATAATCTTTTGGGAGATTAATAGATGCACAGTGGAAGTCTTTAGCCTCTAGTTGTTCAATGTATAACACTTTTCAGCTTGAATGATGTTTGGATTTTTGAACAATGAGCAGTTGGCTTGGCAGTTGCCTGGATGGCAGGGAACTGCTGAGGCAACTGCTAGTGGAAAACAGGAGTTTGGGAGAGATGATTATATGGCCTTGTACAGAATGATGAGGGCTTACTGGATATGTGCTGAGCTGGAGAAAATAAAGGGTTTTGCCTGAGCAGAGGTCTGAGCAGTTGGGTAGACCTAGGAAACTGCTAAGCCGTCTGCTGCGTATGAAAGAAGTATCTTTGAGAACTGACAAGCCAGACCTTTTAGTAGTGGTATTCCAAAGCTTGTGTGAAACAGTTGTCTCAAGGAAAAGTGAGTTATTAAGCAGTAGGATAAGCAGTAGAGTCAATTAAGACAACTGCTTAGGATGCTGCTGGCAAACTACGATCCCTTTAGTGAGAAGTGTTGGGTGTGTGCTCTGTTGAGTAAAAGAAAATCAACACGTGGTGTATCCTGGTTCAAAGGTGGTGTAATCCTCCTACATCCAGTCCCACCTCTTTCAGATGGATTTCCACTAAAGTATTAAGCCCAATACACTTAGTGCCAATCTAGCCTTTACGACACTTAGGCCTAGATTGAAGGTTTTTCACAATGAGTATAACACCACTCAAAGTTACTCAGTCCTTAGACTTTTCTCAAATGATCCAGTGGGGATCAAAAGGTACTCTATCTATCTAACCACACTTTAGGATCCGAACAACTGTTCTCCTAAGTGTTTACAACCACTTTTGAAAATATCACAGGAAGGTTCAATTCCAACTAAACCTAAGCTCTAATAATATGAAGGTGAAGATCTAATCTAAGAGCTTAGTGAAGCATGAGTCAAAGCAGAGAGTGAAGTTATGATCAAGAACTTTCTCTTTGCTAGATATTCTTTGAATGCTCATAGGATCTTTCTGCTTTTGAACTCAAGAACTTGATTTTTCAACTCATGCTTCGGCCTTTATTTATAGGCATCTCCGGTAAGTTAATCTCATCTGTTGGTTGGGATGGATTAATCTTGATCGTTGAATCTTGATTTCAGAGGATAAACAACTTGTTGTTTATCTTCTTCTTTGGAGCCGATAAGTTTTCTTGTCTTGTTTGCCTAGCCACTGTAGCTTTTCCATTTCAAGTTGACTGTGCATCCCATACTGTACGTTCTCACATAAATTTTTCTCCATGATGGGGTTTCCTCATTTTTTATTGGCTCCAAACAATCGAACAGTTAATTTTTGAGTCTAATAAAATTTATACTGGTAGGATTTTAAATATCCTATTAAGGTAAATGAATTTACCTTATTGCATTTTTAATTTCCAGTATTAATTTTATTAGTCTTAAAAATTATACATTTATTTGTTCTCAATTAGACACATGTATTTTTCATATTAATGTGTCTTTCGTTTTTGTGACGAATTAAAATGTTCGTATCAAATAAATATATACCGGTTGGATTTAAATATCCCTTTTTAAGGTAAAAATTACCTTATTGCATTTTGACTTTGCCGGTATAATTTTTTTGATACAAACATTTTTCTTTTGACTTCTGGTTACTCTTGGTTGTGTATGGTCCATCTAGTATTTCGAACATAAACTGAATTTTTAACTGGTAGGATAACAAATCCTATTAAGGTAAAAATTATTACCTTATTGCATTTTGTGTTCCAGTTAGATAAATAGTTTAGTTGTTCGAAATACTTTTGTGTCATTTGATGTAACAAATAAATTTAACTGGTAGGATCTATAAGAGATCCTTTTAAGGTAATAAAATATTACCTTATTGCATTTTATGTTTTCCAGTTATATTTATTTGTTAATTGTTAATTTAAACAGGACACTTTCAGATAATTTTGTTAGTACCGCCAACTGTCAGTATACATAGTATTTGAATGCTACAAAAGATGGGGGATATCAAAACTATGGCATCATCAAAACTGTTTATCAAAATCTAGGGTCTAACAAAAACAGTGAAAGGTATTCAACTCAGGACCTAACTTGTATTCAGTAATGCTGCGATTACACTGAACTACCCGAACGGCGGGTAAGTACAAGAATACAAGAATAAGAACGATAATTCTATTTGCTAAGCTCTGAGTATTGAAATGATAACCCCTTACAATGTTCTTAATGCAGGTATTTATACTAAAATGGGGATGGGAAAGCTGGACATGTGGCTGAATCCGGTAGGCTGTGCCCCCTGCCACGTAGGAACCCATGCCCCCTGTTGAGTTTAATCCAACACGATATAGTAAATATATGTATAAATGTGTATGAACAAACTATTTTTACGTGGAAACCCAAAAGGGAGAAAACCACGGGACTTTGTAGGCTAATGTCCAAGCCCTCTCATTCTCATTAGGACTCTCCTCACCATTACATAGTACAATATTCAAGCTCCTATTAATGGAGGATCAAGCTAATCTAGAGGAAGAAGGAAGAAGGAAGGGATCCCTAATATGGAGGGAAGCTCCCATATTTATAGAGAATAGGGGGAGGGGTGCTCTCCACCCTAATGGGCCAAACGGGCCAATATTGGGCCTAATGGGCCGAAATGGGCCTAGCTGCTCGGGCTCCGTACTGGATGATGTCTTGGGCTCCTGAACAGTAGTAGGCCGGGATAATATATCCCAACACAAGTCCCCCAGTTTCTTGAGTAGTGAGCGCGTGAATCTGCTCGAGAAAATATACTCTGCCTGCGCCCTTCCTCTGTCTTGCTGGACACTGTGTCTTCACATAATCATCATATATGAGTGAGTGTCTGCACTCTTGAACGTAATCTACCAGTGAGGCACCCCCCTTCCCGACAGGGTCGGGCGAAGGGTGCTCCTCCACGGGCACACTCCGCCTGAATGCATCAGGCGGGAGTAAAGCACTCTGACTCGAGCTTTCCAATCGGAGAAGCTTAGAAGTCCATGCATCTATAAACCGACGTCGCGGTACTGTCAAAACATGATGCACGTGTGTATGTATGAATGTATGAGGTATGATGCATGAATGCATGAATGCATGTAATGTAATGGGTGCAATGTATGAGAGAAGGAATGTGAGATGTGATAGAAAGCGGAGGCTCTCATCGATAACCCGGGCATGTCAGCGCCGAGAGGCAGACATGCTGCATAAGATGGTCGTCGCCATCCTAGAAGGGATGGGCAATCCGGAGATGAACCCGACACAATGGCACGGCGGGGCCGATTGTGATGCATAAGACGTTCGTCGCCACCCTGGGGGGATGGACGAGCTGAACGTGAGCTGGGTACGATGGCGCTGAGGGGCCGATCGTACTGCATAAGACGGTCGTCGCCATCCTGGAGGGAATGGGCGATCCGAACCGTGAATCAGGACACGATGGCGCTGAGGGGCCGATCGTGATGCATAAGACGTACGTCGCCACCCTGGAAGGGATGGACGAGCCGAACGTGAGCTGGGTACGATGGCGCTGAGAGGCCGATCGTACTGCATAAGACGGTCGTCGCCATCCTAGAGGGATGGACGAGCTGAACGTGAGCTGGGTACGATGGCGCTGAGGGGCCGATCGTACTGCATAAGACGGTCGTCGCCATCCTGGAGGGAATGGGCGATCCGAACCGTGAATCAGGACACGATGGCGCTGAGGGGCCGATCGTGATGCATAAGACGTTCGTCGCCACCCTGGAAGGGATGGACGAGCCGAACGTGAGCTGGGTACGATGGCGCTGAGGGGCCGATCGTACTGCATAAGACGGTCGTCACCATCCTGGAGGGAATGGGCGCTCCGAACCGTGAATCAGGACACGATGGCGCTGAGGGGTCGATCGTGCTGCATAAGACGTTCGTCGCCACCCTGGAAGGGATGGACGAGCCGAACGTGAGCTGGGTACGATGGCGCTGAGGGGCCGATCGTACTGCATAAGACGGTCGTCGCCATCCTGGAGGGAATGGGCGCTCCGAACCGTGAATCATGACACGATGGCGCTGAGGGGCCGATCGTGATGCATAAGACGTTCGTCGCCACCCTGGAAGGGATGGACGAGCCGAACGTGAGCTGGGTACGATGGCGCTGAGGGGCCGATCGTACTGCATAAGACGGTCGTCGCCATCCTGGAGGGAATGGGCGCTCCGAACCGTGAATCAGGACACAATGGCGCTGAGGGGCCGATCGTGATGCATAAGACGTTCGTCGCCACCCTGGAAGGGATGGACGAGCCGAACGTGAGCTGGGTACGATGGCGCTGAGGGGCCGATCGTACTGCATAAGACGGTCGTCGCCATCCTGGAGGGAATGGGCGCTCCGAACCGTGAATCAGGACACGATGGCGCTGAGGGGCCGATCGTGATGCATAAGACGTTCGTCGCCATCCTGGAAGAGATGCGCGATCCGAACGTGAAAGAGACACGATGGCGCTGAGAGGCCGATCGTGCTGCATAAAAATGGTGATGATCATCTCATGGCCCTCGGCCTGTCGGTGAGTGATAATCGTCTCACGGCCCTCGGCCGTGCTGGTGATGTGTCGAGTCTCTCTCCTGATTGGCTGTGAGAAGCCGATCGTCTGCCAGGACTCCATCCGGGAAGGAATGGTGAGCCTGAAATAAATCTGGGTGATGTCCCTCCTATCTGACCTGAGGAGCTAGTCTTCGTTCGTCTACCGTATCCGTGGTCCTATGTACGGACCGCTAAGCAGTGTACACTCGGCACGCACAGACTCCGGTAAAGAGCTGGTCCATCGTGTCTGATCCATGGAGCTGGTCTTCATTCGTCTACCGTATTCGTGGTCCTATGTACGGACCGCTAAGCAGTGTACACTCGGCACGCACAGACTCCGGTAAAGAACTGGTCCATCGTGTCTGATCCATGAAGCTGGTCTTCGTTCGTCTACCGTATCCGTGGTCCTATGTACGGACCGATAAGCAGTGTACACTCGGTACGCAACAGACTCCGGTAAAGAACTGGTCCATCGTGTCTGATCCATGAAGCTGGTCTTCGTTCGTCTACCGTATCCGTGGTCCTATGTACGGACCGCTAAGCAGTGTACACTCGGTACGCAACAGACTCCGGTAAAGAACTGGTTCTTCGTTCTTCCCAAGTCTCGTGAGTACTGGTCTCCTGGTTTCGCAGGAGACGTTCGTCATCCCAACTATGAGAAGGAACAGGTTTATCCACGTCGGGATTCCCTATTCTTCGTTCGTCCCTGTCGTGGTCCTACTAATGTTCTTACTTCGAAGAAGACGTTTGGTCATCCAACGATCGCAAGGAGGAACAGGTTTATCCACGTCGGGATTCCCTATTCTTCGTTCGTCCCTGTCGTGGTCCTACTAATCTTCTTACTTCGAAGAAGACGTTCGGTCATCCAACGATCGCAAGGAGGTCACTGGTTTATCCACGTCGGGATTCCCTGCTTCGTCGTCCCATGCTCGTGGCCCTACTAGCCTTCTGCTTTGGCAGAAGGTGTTCATCGATCCACGGGAAATGGGAGGAACTGGTTTATCCTGCCGAGGTTCCCTTTGGTACGTCTAGCCTCCCCCACGATCCTACTAACCTCCGCGTCGGGAGACGTTCGTCATACGCGGCGAAGGAAGATCAGGCATACCTCGTCAAGACTCCCTCTCTCATAGGAGCTTCTCTCTCCCCTTCTCCCCATCTTTTCTCTCTCTTTTTTTTTTGAGGGAGGAAAATACGTTCGTCGGTTCTAAGAATGACCACAAGTGATGTCACACATAATGGTGGTGGGATATCAAAATGAATAGAGTGACGAGGCGATGGAAATGCTGGTCGTCATGCGAAGGCGATGGTCACCCTCCCGAAGGGAGGGGTGAACCCGATCGCTAACCCAAGAAGGTCGGCATTGGGAGCCGATACACAATGATCATAATGTCGCTGAGCAGTCGGTCCTGATAATGGAGATGGCAATAGTGTCTAGTCAGGCCGATATATCCGAGCAACGGCTCTCATCCAACGCAGAGCGGGGATGAAACCGGTCTTCAAAAGATAAATATGTCGTGCCGAGAGGCCGAACATAACATGATAGCGTCGGCAGTGAGAGGCCGATCGTGATATAATAACATCGGTAATGAGAGACCAGTCTGAGAAAACAAGCAACGGCCGTCATCCGCGAGGAGCGGGGATGAAACCGGTCTTCAAATATGGAAAGCACGCCGAGCCGGGAGGCCGGTCGTGATATAACGGTGTCGGCAATGAGAGGCCGATCTGAGAAAACAAGCAACGGCCGTCATCCGCGAGGAGCGGGGATGAAACCGGTCTTCTAATATGGGAAGCACGCCGAGCCGGGAGGCCGGTCGTGATTTAATGGTGTCGGCAATGAGAGGCCGACCTGAAATCAAGCAACGGTCCTCATCCACGCATCGCGGGGATGAGCCCGGTCTTCAAATAAAATAATCATGCCGTGCCGAGAGGCCGGTCATGATGTAATGATGTCGGCAATGAGAGGCCGATCTGAAATCAAGCAACGGTCCTCGTCCGCGCAGTGCGGGGACGAGGCCGGTCTTCAAATAAGATAATCATGCCGTGCCGAGAGGCCGGTCATGATGTAATGATGTCGGCAATGAGAGGCCGATCTGAAATCAAGCAACGGTCCTCGTCCGCGCAGTGCGGGGACAAGGCCGGTCTTCAAATATGATGATCATGTCGTGCCGAGGGGCCGGTCATGATGTAATGATGGCGTCAGACGGCCCTCGGCCGTGACGATCTCTTCTAGGCCCTCGGCCTCTGAATGACGGGTGGTCGTCTCACGGTCCTCTGTCATGGCATTCGCCTCTAGACCTCGGCCTCTAGGTGTTCTTCCTAGGCCATCGGTCTCTGGGGTGGAGATGCTCGTCCCACTGCTCTCAACCGTGGTGGTCTCCTCTAGGCCCTCGGCCTCTAGGTGGAGATGCTCGAGAAAACGGTCCTCAGCCGTGATGGTCTCCTCTTTAGCCGGCCCTGCACGTCTTCAAGACTCGGGCCGAGCGTCTTCTAATCATTTCACTCGAGCGTGTCGAGCGGCTTCAGCTGCGCAATAAGCATGGTAACGGGCCGCACGACCCGACAATATGTATACACACATAACCATCTCTGCATGGTTTTCTTTCTAACACCCACGATTACCGGCCTATGGGTCATCGTGACCCTCGGCCCGGCTCATCGTGCGGGGTTAATGGACGTAGCAGCTCGCGGCGGGGCCAATTAGCAGCCCGCCGAACGTCACATAGAGATATTCATCGGTCTGTGAGTTTTCAAACTCAGACCCAAGTTGGTCGCACCGCTCCCGGAAAAACGAGGTTGAGTGCTTTGGTGCCTTCGGGCCCCACAGGCCGCGTTGGCAATAGTCACTCTGCGCCTGATGGCGTAGATGGTACCAGGGTACGATCGTCGCTCGAGCACTCGGTGTCGTGCGGACTAATGCGTAACCCCCCAAATTAAAACGCGTCATCGGGGCACTACCCTCTGGAGACGCTCAGATCGCAAATCAAGCTGATCGAGAGTGGGCCAACAGGCACACAACAACCAGTCATTAAATTTAAATGACGGTAAAACTAATTATCACTTTGAGCATCGCTCTCATTATTTAATTTCGGGGGTTTTAATCCCTAATAAATAATGGTGATAAAAATACCAGCAATACTATCAATATTGATATTTAGAATTACTATTCCAAATAAAACTTTAATCTGTAAATGAGGGAGTTCGTTTGATACTTAGCTTTTTGTAGTCAAACTCTTCGGCCAGCAAGGATTGTAGAACTTGGTGAATTTAGATTTAATTCCTCATTCTTTCCTCAATTTGGACCTGGTCAACCTTGCTCAAAAGCCAAGTACTTCTATTAATTCAGCCACTCCAAGTCTCCCAAGATGACGTACGTCCAACCAAGAGGGCCTCGCTTTCCTACCGGAATTCCCCAACCTTTACTTGGCCTGGATTTTGCGGACGTGGTGCGCTTAGGTCCGAGCAGCAATATACGGAGTATCCTTTAGAAAAGGCAAGCCGCGTGTGCCGGCCATTTCCGCCAGTGAAGATGGTGGGTGCAGCAGAGCAAAGACAACCAGAGGGGATAGTCTTCGATGGGAAGTCGGCTGAGCTCCGGAGTGCACACCTTCTGAGCCCCAAACCGCCATTAATGGCGGAACTCATCTGGCCCGAGGTTGAGCTGCAGCAGCAGCAGGGGAAAACCGCACTAATCAGCGAGGTGGATTTGTCCACCGCAACGACGTCGGTCAGGTGCTCCGGCCTGATGAAAAAGCCTTGGCTAGGGTGACGAAGTTCGGGGCAGTCCGGAGTTCGCATTCCACCTTCGTCTTAGAGCAGCGTAGCCACCGGCCGGGGTCGGCCATAGTTGCTCCTTCCAATTATTTCTCGATCTCGATCTGTCCAGCATTTTTTTTTTTCACTTCGTATCTTCTTCTTCCTTTTGCTTCTCAGAATACCTTTTCTTTGCAAAACAACTGAAGAACACATGTAATCTTTTTGGACAGCTTCCCACAGACGGCGCCAGTGTTGAGTTTAATCCAACACGATATAGTAAATATATGTATAAATGTGTATGAACAAACTATTTTTACGTGGAAACCCAAAAGGGAGAAAACCACGGGACTTTGTAGGCTAATGTCCAAGCCCTCTCATTCTCATTAGGACTCTCCTCACCATTACATAGTACAATATTCAAGCTCCTATTAATGGAGGATCAAGCTAATCTAGAGGAAGAAGGAAGAAGGAAGGGATCCCTAATATGGAGGGAAGCTCCCATATTTATAGAGAATAGGGGGAGGGGTGCTCTCCACCCTAATGGGCCAAACGGGCCAATATTGGGCCTAATGGGCCGAAATGGGCCTAGCTGCTCGGGCTCCGTACTGGATGATGTCTTGGGCTCCTGAACAGTAGTAGGCCGGGATAATATATCCCAACACCCCCACTTGCTGCTGCCATGCTTTTGCATTAAATGCGGCCTCCACTTGCTGACTACCCGTTCGGGTAGGGCGTTCGGTGTGCGGGACCCCGCCATGGGTCTTTGGGTGTAATTGTTTCCTGAAATGTTCCAAGTATAAGAAATGTGCTGAATGCCGAACGGGTCTGGACTGTTTTGGGCCTTATGCTTCCTCCTGGTCTCCTCATACTTTGGGTCAGGGATATTGGGCCTGGACCCAATATCCCAACAGTTGTGTTAAGAGTAACAAATCACATAACGTTAAAAATTACATTGCAAACGACGAGAGAAAAATGAACATTGAAATCGAAAATATTGTAGGCAAAGAAGTGTTCATAACATTTATCATGAGACGTAACCATTGCTAATCATCTGGAATAAATTCCATTTTACTTCAAATTTTATTATTCTGCGCAGTATACTTCTAAATGATTCAATTAAAATTACAAGTTCAATTTTTATTTCAAATTTGACTAAAGTTAATTCTATCCGGGAAATTTCACCAACAGTGCATCGCAAAGGTGTTCCCGCTGAAAAACATCCAACTTCAATGAGTCATTCATTTTTTGTCAAGATAATTAAAAAAATATAGGGTAAATAGGTTAGGTCGGTCAATTCAACAAGCTTTGTGATCAAACAATTTGTATTAGTCCAAGAAGGAGGTGAGCACAGTAGAAATCACTTGCGTGCATTGAGATTGAGTCACTGTTTGGCTAGATTTGTTTCTATTGGTGGAATTGGGTGGTGAACACAATGAATGAGATTAAGTGTATCTTGGGGTGTGTGTCTGCAAAATCCCGATTACGCCCCCCCCCCCCCCCCCCCCCCAAATAGTACTTCAATATCATAATGTCCCCCGTGTTTTGCAAGTTTACAAAGGCAATTCTTTTTAAGAATGCAATTCCTATAAATCATAGTCAGCGTATTAGTTCGAGGTTGTTGTCTATAAAGAAGTGTTACACAACATTTAGCAACAAGTCTAATGTGATTTCAAATTATATTTATACTACGTGTAATCAGTGGTTAATTGAATTTCATATATTGCATCACACATCAAAATTCATTATTGTATGACTATAATTCTAAATTGTTCATTTTTTTTATTCTAAATGATTCGTTTAGAATTACAAGTTTATTCTTTATTCCAAGCTTGACTAAACATGATGGAACCGGTGAAAAATTCACCAACCGTGCATTAAAAAAAATAGACAATATGTTTTAAAATATGTGACATCTATCGGTTGTGAATCGTGTGGCGAAGATATATTCCCGATTAAAATCCCCCCCCCCCCCCCCAAAAAAAAAAATACTACTTCAATACCATAATGCACCCCGCGCTTTGCCAATTTACAAAGGCAATTCTTTTTAAAAATGCAATTCGTATAAATAATAGCCAGTGTATTAATTAGTTCGAGGTTGATGTCTATAAAGAAGTGTTTCACAACATTAAGCAACAAGTCTAATGTGAGTTCAAATTATATTTATACTGCGTGTAATCAGTGGTTAATCGAATTTAATATATTGCATCACATATCAAAACTCATTATTGTAGGGACTATAATTCTAAACTGTTAATTTTTTTATTCTAAATGATTCATTTAGAATAACAAGTTTATTCTTTATTCCAAATTTGACTAAACATGATTGAGCAGGTGAAAAATTCACCAATCGTGCATTAAAAAAAAACCTAGGCAATATGTTTTTAAATATGTGAGATCTATTATGCCCCCCCCCCCCCCCAAAAAAAAAATACTACTTCAATACCATAATGCATTAATGCCCCCCGTGCTTTGGAAGTTTACAAAGACAATTCTTTTTAAAATGCAATTCGTATAAATAATAGCCAACATATTAGTTCGAGGTTGTTATCTATAAAGAAGTGTTTCATAACATTTAACAAGTCTAATGTGATTTCAAATTATATTTATATTGCGTGTAACATGTGGTTAATCAAATTTAATATATTGCATCACATATCAAAATACATTATTGTAGGCACTATAATTATGTTCACTTTTTTTCTAAATGATTCTTTTAGAATTACAAGCTTATTCTTTATTCCAAATTTGACTAAACATGATCGAACATGTGAAAAAATTAACCAATCGTGCATTGAAAAAAAGCAGGCAATATGTTTTGAAATATGTGAGATCTATCAGTTGTGAATCGTGTGGCGAAAATATAATCCCGATTACAGTCTCCCCCCCCCCCCCCCCCCAAAAAAAAAATTACTACTTCAATATCATAACGCCCCCCGTGCTTTGCAAGTTTACAAAGGCAATTCTTTTTAAAAATGCAATTCGTATAAATAATAGTCAGCGTATTAGTTTGAGGTTGTTTATAAACAAGCATTTCATAACATTTAGCAACAAGTCTAATGCCTTTGCAAATTATATTTATACTTTGGTGTAATTAGTGATTAATCGAATTTAATATATTACATCACGTATCAAAATTCATTATTGTAGGGATTAATTCTAAACTGTTAATTTTTTATTCTAAATGATTCATTTAGAATTACAAGTTATTCTTTATTCCAAATTTGACTAAACATGATTGAACAGCTGAAAAATTCACCAATCGTGCATTAAAAAACCGGGCAATATGTTTTAAAATATGTGAGATCTATCGGTTGTGAATCATGTGGTGAATATATAATCCCGATTATGATTAAACATGTGAAAAATTCACCAACTGTGCATCGCACGGGTGTTCTACTAGTGGTTGTTAAAAATGAGAAGATAATTTTGAACTTTCCAGGTGGACACAAAATAAGTAAATAAGCAAGGTGGGTATAGAACCTAGTTTAAGGAGAGATGGAATATCATGTAACTCACTATTTGAGTCTTTTGACCAAAACCTTAACTAGTATTGCTGTACACCAGAACCAAAACTCCCATGTCCGCAGTTCTATACTTCCATTAAGAACTGAAGTACCAGCAAGCAAACAAACAGAGAAAATCTTTGAATGTTTACTTTGATAATGTTACTATCACAAATTCAGAATGTGTCAGGTTCTTTGAATCAGGAGATAAAAAATGATATAAAAATAAAGAAAACCTCTTGCAGGATGACTCCAGCAGACCAGCGTACAACAATATTATTTAAAAATTGAGTTTCCAATTCAAGTCTCCAACACCAAAACGCAACAAAGTACATTCAGAATAGTCCATTAACCTTCAAATAAAGGTTTTCCACATAAACTTTATTTTCTTGATTTCTTCTTAGATGACTTTGAAGACCTTGCTTGCTCTACATTAACATTCTGAGAGCCTACTTTGGGATTGGCAGCAGTTTGGTTAGGTTTCAAAGTGCTACCACCCAAGGTTTCTTTGACCACTGCACCTTGTGACCCTCTTACTTGTGCCACCCTTTTGTCCTTTCTCTTCGGTCTATAGCTTGACCGCTCCCTCTTCGGAAGCCATCTCTCAGGATCTGGTGGTGGGCCTGGATTAGCTGGATCAAACCCTTTAGGGTATCTAGGTTTTCTTTTCCTCTTCTTCTTTGGCTTCTCCTTAGTCTTTGTCTCATATGATTCTGGAATTATACGTGTGGCCCCGTCATCAACATTCTTAGCACCTGAAGTTTTCTCCAAAGTGTCAATATTAACCGCCTGTAAACCTGGAAGAGGCTTCAGCTTCTTTTCGTAAGCTTCTGCCTTTTCAACATCTAATTGGGCAGTCGTTTGGATCAGCCCGACCAAAGCATCCATACCCCCGTGGCGTTTGACTAAGTCCTCGTACAGCCGGGCAGCCTCTTCCCTCCGTCCGTGTCGGTGTTTGAATTTGGCAGCCTCTTGTGTGATGATGTTGAGGTTATTATTGTCTTCTTCTGTCATGGGGTTTGACCACCAATCTATTGCGGCATTAAAGACTGAATCGGCTCCATCGATATCCCCTGCCCGCTCTTTGAGAGAGACTAGTGTTGCAACTGTCGCGGGCTTGTGTTGGATTTCAGGTAATTTGCCAAGGGAGTCTGCCGCAACTTGAGGGTGGCCTGCAGATGCAGCAATCTGTGCTCTTGCCAGCAAGACCACCTTCGACTTCTCCGGGAACTTATCCACGAACTGCCCTAGCACTTCTTCCGCTTTAACCGCCTTATTTTCCCTCACGTGTAAAGCAGCTTGGAGAAGTGTGGGGACGACGCTGTGGGGAAATATTCCCGGAAGTGCAGCTACTAGTTCTCGAGCCTGCAGTGTTTTAGTATTCGAAATTTTGAATTCAATCACTATACTTTCGTTGAATAGTTATTACTTATTAGCAGCTGAGTGTCAGGGCCTCAGGGGGGGAGGGGTGTCTGTGTGGGGAAGGGTATACAAACAGATAATCCATATTAGAAAAGAGGGTCAATTGTATCTGCTTCCGCCAAGTTTAGGTCAAATTACTAAATGAACCTCGAGGTTTATGAAATTGCAAACAAAACCCTTGACCAGTCATTTTGGGCAAACCACCCTTTCACATTGAAAGATTATAGAAAAAAATGATATTACTAAGAACTGAACCCTTTTAACATTGAAAGAATATAGAAAATAATGACATTACAAAGAATTGAACCCTTTTAACATTGAAAGATTATAGAAAATAGTGACATTACTAAGAATTAAATGCCTTCAGATTGTATTTGCTGTTTTTCATGGAATTTATCAGGAAAAATATTTTATACTACCTTCATCCCTCTAAACTATGTCAACATTCCTTTTTTGATTGTTTAAAAAACTTTGCCTCTTTCCAGTTTACCTAAGTAATTTCTAGATCTTATTGTGTCTCTGTCCTCTACGCAAATCTGAACCATGCCTTTTTACTTCTTACTCTATGTGCTGGTCAAACTTGAGAAAGGTATAAGGGACGGAGGAAATAGTTGTCTCTGGAAAAAATCTTCGGGACAAATAATTGAGGACAAATGTTGAGGATAATTGAAAGTGGATTATCTGCTTATCAGCATAACAGATAGCTTTTTACTTGCTTATTTTGGCTTAAATGGATTTTACCGAAGACTTTTCCTTCCAAAAAATGCAGCAGATTAAGCCAAATAACTCTTACCAAATGAATTCCTGGTTCATAAAACAGAAATTGCCCTAAATAGGAGTAAAAACGTTTTGAAATTCCAAAATAGGAGCAACATGTTTTTTATTCCCTGAATAAGAGTAATCTGCCAAGTTTGGGAAAAAATGCCATGTTTAAAAGCCTTGTAATGCCAAACTTGGCAGAAATTTACTCCTATTCAGGGAATAAAAAACATGATACTCCTATTTTGGAATTTCAAAACGTTTTTACTCCTATTTAGGAAATTCTCTCTATATAAAACCAACCTAATCCCGACTAATATCATCATTCAGTATCATTTGCGAAAATCTGACCAGTTAAGGGATTATATATATGTAATTTCTTAAACCTCAGGTGTCCTTTGGTACTATAAAAGAATATGTAGATGTCATCAACCTTATAAAAGAAGATGCAAGCAATAAGATGTGACCTTGTCCATTTTATTAGAATGAAGTAGCAATAGCACCCAATTGGTATATATGGTTTCCCTCTGCTTTGGAGAGAGCTTCAATTCTAGTCCTTGGGCAAGCCGGAACCTCAATGGCCCATCATCACTTTTCTCTATAAGTAAATCAAGCTTCTTCAGACTATCTGAAACGTCTTTATGACCTCTCAAAGCAATGAGGTTATTTATTGCTACTGCAAGCGAAGACTCACTCACTGCTTCTGCGAGTGAAGCCTCATCTGCCAACCTTCTTACGATAAAATCAGTATAAGATTCTCTCGCTTCTTCTTTTCCAAGAATCTGAGTAACGGAAAAAACCCATCTCACTAAAAATTCACTTAATAAGAAAAGAAAAAATTGGATAGTCTTCACATATGATTTACCATTATTCTACCTGCTGAACAAATGCCAATTGAACAGATATAGGTGCTAATTTCATTTCAATCTCGTCATCGGGTACATTATCTTCCATTAGCACTTCCTGGCCAATTCTGCAAAAGTTAAAGCCAGCATCTGGATGGCTTTATCTCAATGTACTTTGCCAGCAAAAAAAGGAATGTAACACTTACAGACTGGAACGAAAAGGGAAGTAGGATTTCTCTAATGCATCCATGAAGAGTATAGACATTAAGGGTGTGTTTGGGAGTTGGGTTTTGAAGGGAAGGAGAATGTTGATGGGGGTTGATGACCCTCCTTTTCATGTTTGAGAGTTTAAAAATTGGAGGGGATGGTTTTGGAGGGCATTTGTAACCCTTCAAACCCTCCAATAACTCAATTTTTAAGTTCCCCCAATTTGGAGGGTTTTGGGGAGGTAATTAACAAGATGGTAATTTAAGCTAAATTAAAAATGAATATCAGCTCAATGATTTAAATTCGTCATATCTCAATGTCATTTTAATTATAATTCCTTCAAAAACTCTCTCCTTCCAATTTTATTACTCCCAAATACGAAGAAGGGTTTAATCACCTTTTCCTCCCCTTCCCCTCTAACAACATACCTTTAAAGCCTTCCCCTCCCCTTCCTTCCAAAATCCCAAACATACCCTAAGGGCCAGTCTATATGGAACCATTTAGAGGTTTGGAAGACTTTGGAAGGCTTAGTTTATCTTAATAAATAGATTGTTTCTAAAAAAAGATCATGGTGATTGAAAATTTCAATTGTCACCTATTTTGGTACTCCAATTTTTTAAAAGGTGCGAGGCGGCATGAGGCTTTTTTGTTATATTTACCCGAGGCGCAAGGCAGAGGTGTGCGGCGCAAGGCAGAGGCGCGAGCCTCAAGGAACTTAGCCGCGCAACTTAGCTAAACTATATTTATCCTACTTCTAACTGAACCCCTCTACCCAAAACTAATGATTAAAACAAACAAAAATCAGTAACAAAAGAAACAAAATAAATATTCAAACAGTAGCACGAGACGTGTTAAACACCAAAGTCAAAACTTATATGCAGAATTTAAACAACATAATAACTTATGATCATTGATAGTAAACAACAGTTATGATCATCATCAAAACATAAAGACTTCATAATCATTAGTATGTACGGGAAAATATGCAGAAGTATACAAAAAATCCAATACAGTATACAATAAATCCAACATATATATTTGCGGGACGTATACATGAAGTCTAGACTCTAGACTGCATGGGTGTACTCACAGCACAGTAAAACCCATCTTCTAGCAAACAAAATCTTTTGGTTTACATATTTAACCCTCTGCTTTTCAGAAGATTGGGAAATCATACTATTATCGCCTACCCGATTACAATCATACACTCATGTGTACACATGTAAACCCATTTAATTACTAAATGCCATACTATTATAGCCTATATGCATGCAGTAATACACCCATGTAATATGCAGAAAGTATATGACTATACACCCATGTAATATGCAGAAAGTATATGACAATACACCCATGTAAATTTCAAACATCACTAAGATGAGCATGGCATAGAGCATGCAAAGGAGAAAAGCAGAAGAGTACAACAACAACAACAACCTCCAAAAACCTCCATGACTCCATCCAAATTGTCCCTAGTAGAAAGAGTCAAAGACTACGTACAACTCCAAGAATGTTTCCAAATTCAAGGGAACAATTTACTATATCAAGAAATTATATAAAAACGTGTTCACCTTGAAATGAATTCATACTGAAAGCTATAATGAAAGTTCGCAAGCCTGTCCAAAGATTCATTATTTTTTGGCTTGAGAATATGATGGAATAAAGCAAAATGGCTCACCAAACTGTCTGCTCTTCTTTGTTATGAAGCAGCAGTCAGTCCATGCAATTTTGGACGCGATTTTCATTATGGGTCATCCGGAAACAGTCTCTCTGTGCTTTAGTACAGGGGTAAGACTGCGTACATCCGACCCCCCCCTTACCCCACTGTAGGTGGGAGCCTTTGCGGCACTGGGGTAAATGATGATTGATTGATATATTGTATAGGAACATTATGCGGAGTATCAAAAAATACATCAGTGTGTTCTAGAGCTCAGATTGACAAAGAAACAATGCTAGATACTGAAATACAAAGTTTGCTTTGGTCATGGCAGTTTCATAGTTTAGAGCATGTTTGGGATAACTTATTGTATAACTGCTTTCATCAAAAGTGGTTTCTTATATAAGCACGAAGAGCGTGTCTCTAAAAAAGTGCCAAACTGGTGCTCTCTTGAAAAGGAATTCAAATTGTTTCTAAAGAAGTTGGTGCTCACCCCAACTTTTTACAAACAAAAAAAACAATATCTTCATTTCCTGCAAAGCACATCTTCTCAAGTAAAAGTACTCTTCTTCCATTAATAAACACTTAACATATGAAAATAATTCATCTGAAGCGATCTCTTACTCGCATATGTGTTTACACATGAGAAAAGGACAACTTTACCTCCGCGCTGAAAGTAGCAATTGTTCAGCATTGTTGTACTTCTGATTCTGAATTAATGAGCACGCAGTGTTGAATGGCAACTCAAAACTGCGAGTCGGTCTAGCTCTGATAGAGTCCAAATAACCCTGCACTTCAGGTGCTCTTCCTGCAGAAACAAAGCAAGCAACCATATTCGTCTCCAGTGAGTCTATCTTGGACTTCTGGAGTTTGCTATAAATATCAACACATTCATCTGCTTTTCCAAGTCGATATAAAATTTGAGATTCCAATAGCATTTTTGCAGAGCTTTCCTCATTCCCTTTCAGAATCTCCAAAGCTTCGCTAAACTTGTTTTGTTGATATAAGCAATATGCCTAAAAAAGAAATAATGTCACAGGTAAATGGTATGCTTTCGATAATTGGCTGTTTAGAAGAGGAAACTGGTATTTCAAGACAGTTGATAGTTAAACTCCTTCCACCGCTTAAAATTGATTTTATTATTAAGGATATGAGTTCCTGATAAGACACCGCTGTTTTTGTTAGAAAAGTTTCTCCAAAAGTATGCAAATTTGCTAGACTATCTTGGTTCACAGACGATCTAATAATCAAGAGAATGCAGTCTCACACTGTTACATTCATTGAAATTCAGGATGCTGATGGAAACTTATTGCCCAGATTTAAAAAACACACTATGATATGGAAAAGTTTCATGTGTACAGACTACAGAGTAACCATTAATTGAATGCCATGTCGTGAAATGATATGGACTGACTTTTAAATCGTCTTAAATGCTTCAACTAAAAATTAAGAATGGGTAATTACCTTCAGGAAGGTCAAATCAATAGAAGTCCTCTTGGAGTTATCGTATATACTCTCAAGTGCTTCATCTACCTTATAAGCTTCGATTAATGCCACTACTTTACACCGAACTGCATCCTCATCCCCAGGCGCAGCAACGAGGACTTCAATACAGCCAACATTGAAAAAAATAAAAATTAATAACTTAATTGAATGCCGAAATCATTTATCAAGGACATGTGCAGATATCAGATCCGCAAGCATATGCATTTTTAATTTTTTAAAAAAAACATGTTTGTGCGAGTTCAGTGAAATCAGACTGACTTTGATCCGCAACTTTGACGGCTTGCCGGTATTCTGATCCTTTGATGTGCCGATTGAGTGAAGTGAACAGATCCTCCACAGAGGCGGAGGGCATAGACGGCTGCTGCTTAGGTTTCAGTTTGGGAGCCATACGAAAACGAGAACTCCCGAATGCTGGAATATACTGAAATATGTGACGCTTGTGTATATTAAAGACAAACGGAAATATAATTTTGGAAAAATTGGTATTATTAATCTCAACTATTTACCATCCGCTTTAAATAATCCCTATTATACATTATTTCCCTATAGTCCCAACTTTGACCACCATTTTCTTTAAATAGTCCCTCACCGGTTGTCCCAAGTTATAACTGGGAAAGAATACACACACGTGCATCTCACATGTTATAAATGTTATACGGAGTAATAAAGGTAGATAATATATCCTCCTCAAGATGTCAATATTCCAATGTGTTTCTTCCCCGGTAGATCTACGAAGCGCCGACAACAGATTCTCACTATCCATTTGAAGCTTCTAGAGAACTGTTTTCCAAGCAAATGAAGCAATCCTGTAGCAAACGATTAGCTTGAGAAAGAGACTCATGTCTGAAGGTTCAAACACATAGAAGAACCTTATAGTTCTCTATATCAATCCAACACATCTTAAAAAATCTGACCCAATTCCCTTTGATTGAAAATCACACTCATGGGAAAATCTAGAATAGATGATTGAAATATTATTCAATCAATCCACCTGTTTACCCGATTTTTGTGTTCCAATTTCAAATTGATACAAGAATTTCTCAAGAATTGGTCATCTTCTTCGAGTTGCTCTTAAGAAATTTGAGGTCAATGAAATCTTTAAATAGAAGAAGAAAACGGACCGATGCGTGACTCCTACCCTCTACTTTACCTTCTCTAAATTCTTCTCCTTGGATGACTTGCTCTCTCTGTTAGAGACGCTAAATGCGAAGGATTTTCTCCATATGTAGCGGGGTGGGCGTGGGGGTGGGGGAAGGGTAGAGGTAGATGAGAAGAAAGCATGTGGTTTAACAGTGATGGTATTAAGATGGGTTAAGCGGCCGGTGAGTTTACTGATGGGGATTAGGATGTTTTTACTTGGACTCTGTTAGACCCCTTTTTGGCGGGTCTTTATCGAGACCTGGTTTGGGCTCGATAGGGTGGCTTTCGGGGCATGGGATGCGGCCAAAGTCATCGTGGCAATGGCCAAGGCATAGGTATGCCGCGGCATTGCAACATTGCGAGGAACGGGCAAGGTGGAAGTTTGGCTAAGGCATGGGGACTTAGTCAAGACAAGGCAAGCTAGACCAAGTATGAGGGCAGAACGGTTGGCGTTGCGAGAAACCATGTTCGGTTCATGGGCGGCATGACATGGTCAAGGGAGACTATGGGTGTGCGGGTCCGGCATGTGATCCAAGTGTTGGTGAAGATCAGTGGCATGCGGGGCATGGCTTACGGGATGCGGAACAACAGCTTGGAGGCACAACAAAAGCAAGTGGCTCAAGGTGGCACGTGGGCGACTCAAGGGTAGTGCGTGGTGCGTGGCCAGGCTTGAGCCCGGGGCGTGGCTGTCCTTGGGCAGTCACGACATTTGGGAGCTTCGGTGGCAACGAGGGTTGGTTGGCCGGTTGACAAGTGGGACTTGGGCAAGCTGGGCGCAAGGCAACGAGAGTTGGTCACAAGCTCAAAGCAAAGAGTTGGCTCGTGGGTGGCCTGGGTTAGGCCGCGGCATGAGTGCAAGCTCGAAGAGGCGTGTCGGTTCGGTGCGGCATGACTCAAGTCTGGAAGGGCAGGGCGGTTACACGCGAACAGGTGCCTTGAGGCGAACCGGTGGCAAGGCAGTTGAGGGCTTCGGGCGGACAAGTGCTTGGGCAGACCGGAAGGCCGCGGCATAGGGCGGTTGGTAACTGCCACACGCGAAGAGACGCGTCCCTTCAGGCTAGGCAGTTGGCTTGTAACTGCCAGACGTGGCTCGTCTATAAATATGCCGCGGCATAACTGCGAGTTTTGTAGTCTTAGCGAGAGACAGCAGTGTGGCCGAGTGTTTGCAAGTGTGTTAGACATTGTGAGCGTGTTGTATTAGTCCTAGTGTATTAATTGTGAATTAATACAAGGTTGGTCGTTGACCGTAAAGTCGTGTGCCTTTATTCTAAGTGTGTGTTAAAGTGTTGCGTTCCTATTCCAATTAAGTGTTGCGCCGCGGCATTGGGTGGAAGGCTGACTGTCTTAAGGCGTTAAGGCAGGCCGTACAGGGTGAAAATTCGAGACGTGAATTTTACCGTGTAACAATTGGTATCAGAGCTGATGGCTGAAGATCGTGATTCGTCTGCCGGTGACCAAGGGGTGGAGACTGCGGAGGTACTGGTTCGTGGGCTGATTGAGGAAGCGCTTAGGCCGGTGTGGGCGCGGCTTAAGGCACTTGAGGCCTCAAGGGCAGACCTGGTAAACGAACTGGAGGCACGCTCTGCCGAGAACGAAGCCACAAAGTCAGAACTTGTGATTTTGAAGAGGGCTCTTGCAGCGGGACTGGTTCCAAGCGCTGAAGTAGGCTCTTCAAAGATCAAAGTGCCGGAGCCGAAGACCTTTGGTGGTGACCGCAATGCCAAGGAGTTGGAGAACTTTCTGTGGGATATGGAAGAATACTTTAAAGCCGCAAAGGTGCCGGACGAAGAGAAGGTGAGGATTGCACCCATGTACTTGTCTGGTGATGCAAAGCTTTGGTGGCGGAGTAGAGTAAGGGACGACGCTAATACGGGAAGACACGGGCTGGAGTCATGGGATGGACTCAAGAAGGAGTTGAAGGCTCAATTCCTTCCCCACAATGTCTCTTGGATGGGCAGGGAGGCCCTGAAGAACTTGAAACACACCACATCGGTGAGGGATTATGTCAAGGCGTTCTCTTCGCTCATGTTGGACATTGAGAACATGACGGAGGAGGACAGGCTGTTCAATTTCGTGTCTGGACTGCAGCCATGGGCCCAGACAGAATTGAGGAGGCAGGCTGTGAAGGATTTGCCGAGTGCCATGGCAGCGGCCGAAGGACTCATGGATTACTCATTGTCCGATGGTTCTAAGGGGAACAAGGGCAAGGGAGAATCAGGCATTTCCGGTTCAAGGGGGACGTTGAAGTGTGACGACATCAGTGCGGCAACGGAAGCGAGTGTGACAAAACCAAAGTCCAAAGCTTGCTGGGGGTGTGGCGGTCAGCACTTGCAGCGGAACTGTCCCGAGAACCAAAAGTTGGCTGCCTTGAAGCAAGTGGAGTCCGAGGAGGATTCTGCGTTGGTGACAGTGAATCCCTTGCGTTTGGTCTGATGGCACCGTGAAAGTCATCAGGGGCACTGTGCGTGTGGACAGTGCAAGTGCCAAGAGGGGCGTGGACTTGGCATAGGTTGCAGGCGTGGGACGTCAGGCAACTGCAGCGGCATTGCTTGGGTATGGCAGTGCAAGGACCGAAGGTCGTGGAGACGCTAAGGTTCGGTGGCATGCTTTCCAGAAGGTGTCACAATGATGGGTCAAGCGTACACAGGGGCTGTGCGGGTTGGACATCATATTTTGGAGAAGCACACAAGGGAGTGGTGCGTTCACCAAAATTGTTGGCCGTGGGTCAACATGTTGCTAGTTGGATGGGAGGATCCTTTGGCAGCGGAGCGGAAAGCTCAACGTTTGAACTTGAGATCGTGGGCCAGATCTAAGTTCAAGGCACTTGGAGCGTGGGAAGACGTTAGTGCATGCGGCTGATCAGTGGCACGTTTGGGACGGGGCAGACTGATGCAGCGTGGTCCGGCGGCACACAGGGGTGTGAAGCGTTGTGTTGGCATGGGTATTGCCAACGCGGAGCGGAAGGCTCAAAGCACATGGGATGTGCGCAAGGCTGACAACGGTGCAAGTGGCTTGTAGGCGTTGGGCAGCAAAGCTCAAGTGATCATGCAGGGGAGTGTGATGCACGGCGGGGCTTAGCAGCATGGAGTTGCGAACCTAGCAGTTGGGGTTGTCAATTGCAAGTGAATTAGTTGCCTATGGCAGGAACTAATTGGAAACCTCGGACGCTGAAGATGTGTCGACGAGGGCGTCGACTTCATCTGGTGGGGGAGGTTTGTTAGACCCCTTTTTGGCGGGTCTTTATCGAGACCTGGTTTGGGCTCGATAGGGTGGCTTTCGGGGCATGGGATGCGGCCAAAGTCATCGTGGCAATGGCCAAGGCATAGGTATGCCGCGGCATTGCAACATTGCGAGGAACGGGCAAGGTGGAAGTTTGGCTAAGGCATGGGGACTTAGTCAAGACAAGGCAAGCTAGACCAAGTATGAGGGCAGAACGGTTGGCGTTGCGAGAAACCATGTTCGGTTCATGGGCGGCATGACATGGTCAAGGGAGACTATGGGTGTGCGGGTCCGGCATGTGATCCAAGTGTTGGTGAAGATCAGTGGCATGCGGGGCATGGCTTACGGGATGCGGAACAACAGCTTGGAGGCACAACAAAAGCAAGTGGCTCAAGGTGGCACGTGGGCGACTCAAGGGTAGTGCGTGGTGCGTGGCCAGGCTTGAGCCCGGGGCGTGGCTGTCCTTGGGCAGTCACGACATTTGGGAGCTTCGGTGGCAACGAGGGTTGGTTGGCCGGTTGACAAGTGGGACTTGGGCAAGCTGGGCGCAAGGCAACGAGAGTTGGTCACAAGCTCAAAGCAAAGAGTTGGCTCGTGGGTGGCCTGGGTTAGGCCGCGGCATGAGTGCAAGCTCGAAGAGGCGTGTCGGTTCGGTGCGGCATGACTCAAGTCTGGAAGGGCAGGGCGGTTACACGCGAACAGGTGCCTTGAGGCGAACCGGTGGCAAGGCAGTTGAGGGCTTCGGGCGGACAAGTGCTTGGGCAGACCGGAAGGCCGCGGCATAGGGCGGTTGGTAACTGCCACACGCGAAGAGACGCGTCCCTTCAGGCTAGGCAGTTGGCTTGTAACTGCCAGACGTGGCTCGTCTATAAATATGCCGCGGCATAACTGCGAGTTTTGTAGTCTTAGCGAGAGACAGCAGTGTGGCCGAGTGTTTGCAAGTGTGTTAGACATTGTGAGCGTGTTGTATTAGTCCTAGTGTATTAATTGTGAATTAATACAAGGTTGGTCGTTGACCGTAAAGTCGTGTGCCTTTATTCTAAGTGTGTGTTAAAGTGTTGCGTTCCTATTCCAATTAAGTGTTGCGCCGCGGCATTGGGTGGAAGGCTGACTGTCTTAAGGCGTTAAGGCAGGCCGTACAGGGTGAAAATTCGAGACGTGAATTTTACCGTGTAACAGACTGTAATTTGCCCCAGACCAGTTCAGACCAGACCAGACCAGACCAGACTTGGATAGTTATAAAAATACAAAGAAACCAGACCTTACCAGACCAGACCAGTTCAGACCAGACCAGACCAGACCAGACTTGGATAGTTATAAAAATACAAAGAAACCAGACCTTACCAGACCAGACCAGTTCAGACCAGACCAGACCAGATCAGACCAGACCAGACCAGACCAGCAAATTACAGTCCAAGTAAAAACATCCTTATTGGTTGTACCAGTATTGGGTCTACCGGACTATTTAAAGAAAATGGTGGTCAAAGTTGGGACTACAGGAAAATAATGTATAATAGGGACTATTAAAAGCGGAACGCGAATAGTTGGAATTAATAATATCTATTTTTCCTATAAATAATCTTACCTTTCACCTTTTTATTATATCTTTGTAAATGTGAGACTATTTATATAAGATTTTCAAAGAAATGTAAAAAATTTGATAAGGGTCCAATGAAAAAAAGATGGGATGCTAAGGTGGGATTGTTATGCGAAAATTATAGGAAAAATTGAAAATAATAATCTCAACTATTGCTGGTCCGCTGAAAATAATCCCGACTATTGATTATTTTTGTATAATCCCAACTATATAGACTATCCGCCAATAATGGTCCATAACCATATATTACCTCTATAAAAAGTGAATTTTAAATAGAAATTAAGCGTA